TGAAATTTGGGAAGGGGAATAAGAGTATAGGATCCTAGCTTGATCCCACAAAACCTTATTGTTCAGGGGGAAGGAGGTGGGGGAGAATGGGGAGTTGTGTTTGAAGTTCAATCATAAAATCATGATTTGCAAAGTGGCTCATTCCCAGGTGCCCATCAGCTTCCTTGTTAACTTATATGTCAGTTTTTGCACCCCCTTGAATGACCAGGTGATGCAAGGTTCATGCATGCAGTGGTTGTTGCACACATCTGGGCAGTCTGTGCGGAGGGAGGAGGGGGAGAGAGGAAAATGTGGGATTCTACCCTTGGTTTTGGAAATGACGAGAGGGAAGCCCTGTGGGACAGGAGGCCACACCCAATAGGTGCTTCTCTCCCTGCCGTTAGGGAAGGATAAACGATGACCCCATTTGGCACTGTGTTCAGAGGTAGCACTGGGAGAAAGAGCACCAGACTGGGTTCAGCTGCTCTTGGCACAGAGCTTGTTTATCCTGTCTGCCCTATCTCTCAGAGCATCATTCACTCCATCCCCAGACACATGCTCTTATGATAATTTCTGTAATTCTATTAGCTTGGAGGAAATAGGCTTTACTGTCCGTTTGATTTTATTTCTTTTTTCCAGAGAACTTGGCTGCTTGGTCTTTTAGCTTAACCCTTTGTGGATACATTTTTTTTTGCCTTTCCAGGACATTGAGACTAGATGTTTTCCCTTTCTGCCTTCTTGGTTTCCATGTATAAGCAGCATTATAACGGAGATTTTTGTTTGTTTCTTTTTAGTCCCAACTAGAAATGAACTAAAGCTTCAAAGATCAAATCATAACCCCTGTTCCCCAAAAGTCAGTGCTTAAGCCTCAATAGTTTGGAAACATTTGATCTGCGGAGGCAGCAAAGAGCCATTGCAGCAAAAGATACAGGTATTTTAGCTTAATTTTCCTAGTTACTGAAATTTTCAGTGGTGTTTGTATGCACACATTTTGTTTCTAACATCACGTGCTGGATCTCCTGGTGATGATCCTCAGGTTTGTAGTAGGATTATTTTTATGGCTAGGGAGAGTGATGCGATAAGAACACATCACCATGACTGCATTGCGGAACTACCTAGAAGAAGAATTTGTATGGGTAGGCGGAAGCTGATCTACCCAAGAAGATCTGCAGTGTCAAACTACGTAGCCTTTGCTTTTTAATAAACATGCCACTTTTAGAGGTGTTTTGCTTTGTTAAGATTTGTTAAGATCAAACCTTAATCAACTCAGGTGATGAGGAAAATCCCACCTTTGTCTGGGGTATTGACGCTCCCTCTATAAAAAAAGCCAACGCTGCTGGTCTTTCTAGTTTGCTGTGGCTGCAGGGGTGCAGAAACAGTCCCAAATAAACTCACCTGGAGGCAGATGGTACATGTGTGTGATGGTGTTGGCACTTCTACGTGTTCTGACGGAAGACAGGATTAGTCAGGGTTAAAGAATTTTGTAGTGGTAGGGAATGGGGATGGAGCCAACAGAGGCTTTTCCTTACTAGTAGGGAAGCAAAGGCTGCTTGCACACTGCCATTGAAAAATAGTTTTACTGAAAAATGTATTTTGAATGACCACTTTTCTTCTTTTTTTAATGAAAAACATTACTGTAAAAACCCTGAAAAGTATAAATGTTGAAGTTTATTTTGTTTGATAAACTGGACCTTATCATACTCATATTAGCCTGCAAGATGATATTTTTAATGTTTCCTTTTCTCCAGAAATCTTTTATTTTTGAAAGTTTGCCCAAAAGTCAAAGTGGAAAACTCTGCAATTCTTTGACAAGTTAAGCTGGGAACAGTTCTATGTATTACGTAGGAGGAGCTGCTGAGGGTTAGGCAAAAATAGCATTTCCCTTTTTGAAACCACAGTTTTAGGAGGTCAGATTCTTCAAAGTTTTAGGATTTTGGATGAAATTTTCCATTCTGAAGTTTGCTATGGATTGAATTATTTCTGGAGATTTTAAAAAAATACGGTGGTGGTTTCCAAGAACATCACTAGGGAAAAGCATATTGCTTCACTCGTGATTAAAAAAGAAATAAGTTGGCCACAGCGTATGGAAAGCACCAGAGCCCACCATTTCCTGGATGAGGAGCTCTAGTTCTGCAGGGATCTCCCTGGGGCCAGGGATGTGCCTTTTGAAAGCTTTTTCTGGGTTTGTCAAGTCTGAGGCCTCCATCTGCCTGTGCTCTGTGTTAGCTGCTAGCTGAGCTGCCAAATCCTTTCTAACACTTTTGTCTATGCTGGGGATAATTCAGCTGAAGGCTGCAGTTAGGGAGCCAAGAGTTATCAGTCATTACTGCTCATAAAGATAAGGTCAGCTATGAGATGGGAGTACCAGAGGTCTCATTTCAGTTGCATTCAGGCAGTGAGGGGTAGGATAAGAAGAAGAAGAAGAAGAAGGGATCAGGGAGAGCAGTAGTGATTGGTAGGAGGGTGAGAGCGCGACAGAGCCAAAAGTGCTGTTCGTGCTGGGTGAAAAGAGCAGAGGGAGGGGTCTCTGCTCTGCACAGGTCCAGTGTCAGCCGGGTGGACTGCAGGGTCCACGGCTGACTTGCTGCACCCTTAGTTGCTTGGCTGGGTGAGTCCCTCTCCCTTCTGCCCTGCAGGAGTGTGTAGTAGCTCACAAGAGCGTTTAAGTCTTTGCTGAGGTCTGCGCTGCCTCTTTCAGATTCACTGTTCAGGGTTATTGTGGGATTTAAAGGGGTTCACCTTTACACTGTCTGCGCAGTGCTGGCAGCTGCTCTGGCTTCCCTCTGGCTTCTCTGCAAGCAGAAAAAGCTGCTTAGCAGCTGGGGCAGTGTGTGCACGTGTGCTTGTGGTGTTCTGTGCCACGGCAGCTCCTGGCATATAACCTAACATAGAGGAGCATCTTCCTGCATGGGTGAAGGCACCCCTCTGCTCCCGGGGGGCTGCCTGTGCCCCATCTCATCTCACAGCTGTAGTTTCAGTTGCCTGCAGAGAAATAGCTCCGCTCTCTAGGTTTAAGAAGGAGAAGATATTTGAGGCAGGGAAAGCAGGTTTGACCCATTTAAACTTTACACTGCCTACCAGTCACCACAGGAAATGTCCAGAGGGGTTAATGTTTGGGGAGATGACCAGAGCATTGCCACCCTCTGGGAGAGGAGGATGTGGCAGCTTCTATGGTCACGGGGCACACCTGCATTAATAGGGCTGTTCCACAGTTATCCTTCACCTTCTTGCCCTGTCTTCAGGGATGGACACAGTTACAGCACATAGAGGAAGGGGAATGGAAGGGAGGATGATGGTGTTAGAACCAGTCCTTCATCTAGCATATGACCTAAGGGAGATGCTGCTGCTGCTCACATAGCCTCACCCAGCCCACTTTTTCATTATATCTTTCCGAGGCAGCCTCACGCCAGGCCATGCTGCAGTGCTGAGGCCCCCGGGAGAGCCCTTCCAGTGCTCAGGGGTAGGTGTGTGGGGTGGGGGTGTGTGTAGCAGCAGTGCTGGGGAGTTCAGCACACAGGCAGGGAGGGAGTGAGTGCAGGAATCAGCAAAGGTCCCGGAGTTGCTCTGAACAATTGGAAAGGTGTTAGTGTAGCTGTTTTGGCATGTCTAGATCTATGTAGTTATCTGTAGCTGCCTGGGAACGGTGATCTAGGTAGAGATGTAGCTCAGTTTTGATGAGGGCAAATAGAGCCAGAGCTGTCTTCATCTGTGGCTTGTTGAAGAACACAGGTTTAGGTGTCAGCTAATCCTCCACTGGGACAGGTGAGCCTCAAATCCCCTTCACGAGTAGTAGTGGGTTTTAACAGTTCGGTCACCAGTAGTTAGTTGTTCCTATCAATGGTGGTAAATTGTTATGTGTGCTGACAACACCCCAAGGAAAAGCTGAGATTGGTTTAGCTTGAAAAATGCCAGGAGCCCGCTTCTCTTTTTGCAGGTTACAAGCTACCTGGAACAAAGTGTGGTGGGATGGTCTTGTGAACGGGAGTCTAGGGCCTTGATCTGTCCTTTACCAAAGGCTTTAAGACTGTACATGCGTTACGTGCTTTCCTAGCTAATTTGTTGACGATTATACTTAAATCCACATTAAAATCTCCCCAACAAAACATGTAGGTCTGTTCTCAGGTGTCTTCTCCTCATTCTAGCTGCCTTTCACAGTTGTCTTCTGTAGATGCTTTCTGTGCTCTTAGCCTTAGATTCATGAAAGTGTATATGAACCCCAGTTACATGAGCTGTTAAAGTTGCAGGAACATTTCAGGACTAAATCTATATAAAGGAAAATTTTACATTTTATTTATATTTCATCATTGAACAGAGTATATAAATGTTTGTTTATCATATATGAATTTGGCCTCTGTTGATCAATCAGCTATCGGAGGTGGCAAAGTGAGAAACCTGTTAGTGGTTACCTCAGAAGTATGCCTCTGTTTCTCAGTTCAGTTTTCAATATCATACTCAAACAGCTAAACAGTGATTCCACTTGTAAAGCTCTTTATAAATCAGACACAAATAGTTTTGATGCATTTGAAGGACATAAATGTCATAGCAATACCTTCTTTGTAATAGAGAAATTGAAACCTTCCTGAGGCAATGTATGTAAAATACAATTTTTAATGATAATCCTTGTGAGCCAGGATGGCATATTGTACAGTAAATGCCTTTCTCTGTAATGTTCAGACTTCAAATAATTGAAAAAAGGGCCAAGATATCACCAGAAGTACTGAACTCATTGGAAAAAATAGTAGTTTTCTGTTTGTTTTGGTTTTTTTTCCCTATCACAAGTCAAGTTCTACTTTCCATTTCCCTACTCTAAATCTGGCTCTGAAAGCAACTCAGCTGGCATCTCTGTGGATTTAACAGAGGGGAACTGAGAGCAGAATGAGACCCAACATCTGTGTAAGTATTGACAATTTTAAGTGACAACTAAGGGTTCATGGCAGCAGTGTGGTTTTGAAAAAGCGGCTGCAGAAATAATCCAACAGTCCCCAGGACACAAACAAGGACGAATATCCAGAGAAACAGCCTGTCCACTACCATGGCAACATACTTCCAATCTTCAATGACCTGAAAGAAAAAGCCAATTAAAGATATTAGCAATTTGTCATATTCTTTTGCTCTTCCTCTTGCTAATGCCGAGGTTTTGTTTACGAAAATAAAAGGAAACAAATCTCAAGGTTCAGGCAATAAACTGACTTTAGGCTTGGGAAGGGGTTTTTCTCCTACAGCTGTTCTGGGCAGTGGAGAAAAATACTGTAAATATTCCTTAGCTGTCTTGGATGCATCAGGTACTGAGCGTGGCCGCCTGGTGGAAGCCAGTCCAGAAGGACCCACAGAATAATCCAGTTATGGAATTTTTTTCTTTAATTTTAGTTTGCAGATGTTATTAATCTCAGTGGACAGAAATAGATGGTGTTTACTGCTGTTAAACAAGGTTAGCTTCAGAGTTCTTTTCTTATCAGCAGTCATCTTAATCAAGGGGTTTAATGCATATTAATACTGTTGCTTTTATTAAAATCCCTTTTTGCCTTGCATATGTTGTTTGTGAAAGTCATGGCCTTAGATTCTGTTCTCAAACTGAAGTAACTATCAGGCTATTATTGTAAAGGGGGAATATATCAGTCTTCATTTGCATCTTAGGAATGATTATTTTTTCCTCTCTCATTGATTCTAGTTACACATGGGACATCCTCACCTCAATGACTAAAGTCATGCTTGTCAATTATCTCATGTCTTATATTAGAACATTACATATTTTTCCTTCAGTGCACACTTTTAATTTCCACTGCTACTAATGGGAATTGTGCGCTTCTGAAATCAGACTATAGTAAATGTACATGAACAGTTGTTATCAGACCGTGGTAATGAAGGAAGAAAGCAGAGATTAAAATTATGAATCTAGAAAATTGATATGTAATATCAGAGGACACTATCTGAAAAGCATTCAGTTAATTCTTAGCGTATAAAATACCCTTGAAAATTGTTCTTAATATCAAGTGGAGGCTTTGTAGATCCTTTAGAATGCAACATATTCTTGCAAGGATTTCTGAACTATTAGAAAACTTTTTTTCTGCTCTATGAAGTCTGCTTCTGTTCAGTCAGTTTCAATGTTTACAAGCTCATGTCTAATGTTAATAGCTGATTTTTTTAATTTATATTGACAGTAATTTCGGCTAATAGAAAACATGAAGTACTCAGCGGCATGCTCCTCAAGAGACTTCTGCAAGATCAGAAACCAGACTTTATTTAATCTGCTTGGCTGAGGGAGGGAGAGCACAACAGGAATAGAGAACCTAGAGTCTGACTGGGATCTGAGTCAGAGAGAGGACACTGGTAGGTATGAGGATGATTTTTCCTAGCCATGGGTGCTTGTCTAAACAAAACTCTGAACCGTCTGAGTTTTTCCAAGTATTATGCACAGTGTATTTATATCAGCTTTAGTGTGCTAGCTAGTAGCACATGAGTAGAGCAAGTGAATAGGGCAGCAGCAGCACTGTTTAAATGCGTCCTGGATGAAGTACTTCTCATAGCCAATAACAAGTCTGATTTAACTCAAAAAGTGTCAGCTCTGCTGGCATTAGGATTTGATCCTATCCATTGTGTTTGCCATATATGGACAGATATCTTAGCCTGGAGCAGGTGTTTGCAAAGGCGTTTTACCAATTTTACTAAATCCTCCTTCTATGCCCACTTAGGTAAATAAATGCTTGAGCTACAGGTAGATTGTTTCTGGTTAACATGGCCTGGCCACGGGTTGAGTCACAGTCTTACTGGATACAATGGGGAAAAAGATTCTTTTTCTGACCTGGAATTGAATATTATTTTTTTTCCCCTGCCAAACACTACTTGAATGTGACAACACAGCTTTTTCAGGGGTGTTTCATGACTTACTAGGCAATCAACATTCTCTTTTTGTAGAAATAGCCATGTTACTTTCCAGGAGAGTATCGGCGTTTACCAAATTGCTATTCGTTAAGTTCTTTTAACAGCAAAAATTATTTCCTTTTATAAGCTATAGCTAGAATATCTCTAAAAACTTTAGAATAGCTAGGGAGTTCAAATATACTTTCTGAAGAACAGCGTGTTACAGAGGAGGACAGGAGATGAAGTTTGGAAAGACCGGAATGATTTCTCATTTTTACTTACACTCTGGTCGTTGTCATCACTTTTCATGTGCTCTGCTATAAAACTGACTCCATCAATTGCTTCTTGGACTTCAGGAGAAAATTTCATGCCTGTTCTTAACCTAAAATCTCGATGACTGCTGACATTGTCAAGAGTGTCAGTGATTTTCATATCATATTTTTTGGCAGAGGCTGTATTCAAAAAATAGGTAGAGTTCTTGTAGAAGTCGGCTGGGTCCATACAAGGATTCTCTGCTTTTGCCTTTTTGCAGTTGCACAGCTTTTGCCGTGGAGAATTATTTTCTGGACGCTTCATGAACAGGTAGGCTGGGAGTCTTTCAAGGAAAACCAGCTTTACCCAAGGGGGCATAGTGTGAGTACTTGGAGATCTATGGTGGACATTGAGTACACAGACACTGGTAACTATTGAGAAGGTCACTAGTACCATTGTAAACATGAGATACTTCCCAATCAGTGGAACATCTAGAGATGTTGGAGGGACAATTTTGGAGATCAACAGCAAGAACACAGTCAAGGCAAGCAACACAGATATGCATAAGGTCATTTTTTCACCACAGTCTGAAGGCAAGTAGAACACCAGGATGGCTAAGGATGTAATTAGCACACAGGGAATGATAAGATTGATGGTATAAAAAAGAGGTTTCCTTTTAATTATGAAGTCATATGTCACATCGACATAATTGGGGTCCAAAGGATTTACAGTCCTTCTTCCTGGGAGTGCTACAATGTCCCATTCTCCACTTGGCGTAAAGTCATCCATGCTTGCCATGGAAGTTTTAAGCACCATATCAATTTCTGTATGATCATATGTCCAAGACCGGAACTTTAATGTGCAGTTTTGTTGATCGAATGGAAAATGCTTAACTTCAATCTTGCAGGCGCTCTTGTAGATGGCTGGTGGCAACCAGCGAATGCTTCCATTATTCTTTACAATTGCATTTGTATATAGCGAAACTTCGTATGTGCCATCCGCGCTAATGAAACAAGAGGAAAGAAAAAGGAGAGAAGACAATAAAACTTTACGAGGAAAAACATAGTTTAAAACAGAAGAGCTCTGACATTCTTGGTCTTCTGGGCCTCAGTTGTTTCTAGAATCAAAGTTTAGTAATGTTTTGATTTTGAAATCTATGTTGTAGGGAGCGATAACTTGATAGGGAGATTAATGTATGCATTTCTTCCAATCAGAGAATTGACATTTGGTCCAATACTTAGAAAAATTATTTTATAAAATTATTATTAAATAATAAATATGCATCTCTGTTTCATCCAAAGAACTTGAAGTATTTTGTAAATGTTTGTTAAAGTAATTAAGGCTTACTACATCTCTGAAGGCTAAGTAAAAATGAGATCATCCAACATGAAAATGGAGATACCTTTGATCTGGAACACAGCCACTGCTAAGAGCACACAGCAACACTCCTAAATGACTTGGACGAGGAAATAAGGATGAGCAGTGTTAGTTAGAAATGCAGGGAGAGTGTGGGCAGAGGAAATGTAATTATATGGTTTATAATTTATTGTGTCACTCCAGGTAATGTTTACTTATTACAAAACCAGAACAGACAAGCCACAGTCTTCCTAGTGCCCACAAATAATCTTGGCTTTGTATCTCCTCCAACTGCCGAAATTCCTCCAGGAGAGTCTTCTATGTTATGATGGGCCCTTTGATTCAGGGAGAAGGTCAACAAGAACAAGATTTGACCAGACAGAGTACATCCTAATCTACTGGCTGAATGATTTTGTGACTAATACAATAGTTTTAAGCATTTCTCAAATCTGATTTCCAGTAGTAGGATTCCAGGGACTTAACTCAGTTATATATAACTTCCTAGGTCTCCCATCTGTATGTGTTCATAAACCGTCATGTGTTCATGAATTCATTGGTTTTCAAAGTATCATGAAAGTATATTATAAGTTTTGATTATTTTTTTCCCCCAAAAACTTGATATCATCCACTTCAAGGCTTTGCTAGAGACCTAAAAACAACAACAAAAACAACCCCCAAAACAAAATTGGCAGTTAGCTATTTGTTTGAAAGAACTGAAGTATGGTCTACCACCAAGCTTTTATTTTTCTCAGTACTGTAAAGCAACAGAGTCAAATGTTGACAGATTTATTATGTATTCTTATAGTTGATTTTTAATGCTTTGTGAAAATAGAACATAATTTATTTTTGTAAATGAATATTAACTCATGGAGTTCTGGTACATGTGAACTTTGTAACAGATTTATGTCCTGGAGTCTGTGGTGGAAGGGGGGATGGGGAGAAGAAGTAGGAGACAAAAATGTAGCTCAGAACCTAAGATGTCCGGTAGAATTCCAGATGTTTTGTCTTCTTTCAAACATGACCAGTGTAAGGCTGCTCTTGTACTTACAATTCATGCTTTCCAGATAGTCTAGTTTGATATAGATCTGTGTCTCAATTGTGAGCCTTGTCGCAGATCCTCTGGTGTTGTAACAGTTCACACTGCAGACATGCTCCAGGTCTGCTGGAATTTCTTTAACCAGAGCCCTGATTTTACTAAAATTATCTTTGAGGCCAGTACCCTAGTCAGATATGCTTGATACTGGCTAAAAGTTACAAAATTCAGTTTTAGAATTTTATCAGACCTACTTCATTGGTTCTGATGCTTGTTTCTTGATACATAGTTAAAATTTTGTTCACTGTCTGCATAAACTGCAGAAGTTTTACTTACTTATTGTAAAGCACAATGTCGGGCAACCAGATGTGTTTTGCAGGTATTCTCAGCTTATTTATTCCTTCATAGTCAGAGGGCTTCCAAGCCAAACGATAATCAATCCACTCCTAAGAGAAAAATTGTACAGTAGTGATGGGAGTATCCAGACCAGCACTAACAAAACAATCACTGTGATGGAGTGAAAGCAGTCGCATTTGTGGTTTGCAAGAGCATGCCTCTGTGGGTTTGGTTACCTGGTTCAGCCAGACGTTTGTAGTCATGATCTGCTCCCGTTCATTCTGCAGGGGAAAAGAGAGAGAAAAGTTGTCCTCTAAAATGTTTCACTTTATTGCAGTAATAAGATTTATTCAGTAGGCTTTTGAGGATATTTCGAACTGCACAGCATGATTTCGTTTAGTGTATTTCAAGGCAGGCATTTCTCTGCTGGTAAGATGGCCAGTCTTGTGCACTGATGATATATAGTTACTGATGATAAATAGTAACCCCACAAGTGTAGAGCTCCAAGTGGCTTTTGACAAGGACACTTGTGACTGGAGTGAGTGTGGCTATTTGGGAACAATTTCTACCACACTGCTGAGCTGATTTCTCCCCCCTTCCCCCCCCCGTGGATTTGATTTGAAACAGAAGGCACATTTGACCACCAGGAAGGCCTAGATTAACTTGTCTGAGGTTTATGTAAGGTTTACCATGTAAACTCTCAGCTGGCAGGCTCTGCTTCGTGGAAATGCTGTCTCTCTGGACAGCAGTCCAGAAGAGAAATCTCTCTGCAGCAGATCTGTGTGGCTGGGGCTCTACTGAAGGGACAAGGTAGGAGGTCAAAGAGTCAGGAGGATTTCTACGGGAAAACAAGTTAATTCTCTGATCCTGAAGATGCTTGAGATTGTTAGAGCCTACAAGATGCCTAATTTTGCTTTCTGCTTGAAGAGTGAGGATATAGAGGGATAGGGACCGAGCTGTGCCATTCTTGATCCTTGCCCATTCGTCTACTCTGTTTAGGTTGTTGATCGCTGGGGCCTGTGGGAGCAAGACACCCTGCTTTTTATGCCCAGAATCTGCAATCTGGGAGGACACTGTGCTAGTGGTGGCAGTGCACTGTGTGAGGAGGCATGTCTGTGTCCAGGTGGAATTCTCCAGGAGAGAGGGAGCACTTGTCCCAGAGTCATCTGGTATACATGACAGTATATCCTGTATAAATCAGCCTGCACACATGTATGAAAGCTCATCTGTTTGTACAGTTTCCATTATGTTCCATTAGTGTCTCTCTCTTTTCCTCTTGAATTTCAGAATATAAATTATATAGGTCTCTTAAAGTTTGGAGCAATACACAAATTCTGGCAGGGAGGCAGTCATCTGTATCCTCTTTTTCATCCAGGGAGAGAGCAGCAGAGTTGAAAGTCCTGATTCAGGAAATTATTTCCACTTATGTGCTGGATCTTGTTCCCACTGCAGTTAATGCTAAACCTCTCTTGGCATTGAGGTGTGTATTTGTACCTTGGAAAAACTGTTAAACACATGCTAACCTTGTGAGTGAAAATGTCTTTCGGACCCAGTGAAGTAATTTTTATTGAATATGAGGAGTTGCTTGCATGAGGATTGTTTTAATAGTGTTAAGCTATTCCAGCCAGAACTAACATGTTTTTTTTCTTTACAACATTTCACTATTCTTTGCTGATGTGCTTGATACGCCATGAGATTTTGAGCTGGCTTCGTAGCTTGTTTTCAGGCCATTCAACCACATTTCTTTGATGCAAGCAGCAGAAGATGGTTTAGTATTGTGTACACAGCCCAGGATAGATCCTGACCTGGTGTAACTCACTGTGGCTGTACTGAAATCAGTGGAATGATTTTGATGTTTTGATCAATGGAATTTTATTGGATGAAGATCTGGCCGCTGTCCTTTATTGCTTAGGCATAGATTGATCTCCCTGTTGTAGCTGCATTCTGAAGTATAAAACCAGTAAATTGCATGTATGGGCCCTGCCTACTAAGTATTATTATGTAAACTAGAAAATAACAGGGACATAATAATACCAATATGACTTTTACTTAGAGTGCTGTGCAGGTAGTAAGGAATTAAAAGACGTAGCCTAATTTGAACTTACCACGCTGATGAGCTGTGCCAGGGAAACCTGCAGTTCTATAGATACCAGCTGGGAGGAGTTGACAGCTGGTCGAATTAACTTATTGTACCTGTCAGGACTCAGTAGGTGGTTCATTAGCTTTTCTTCAGCATCTGCTGCGGTGCTTCCTGTAAAACATCACGTAACAGGATTATAGAAGGGAGACCGAGTGACATGATGTAGGGATCACAGAATTTCTGTGCATCACATTGTCTTCATGAAATAATGAGGGCTTTTGATTTTCTAAAGACTGTAGGCTTGTGTGAACAGAAGGATATGGTGCTTGCACCAATATCTGTTCTGCTGAAGTTGACTGTCTTTCACAGAACATAGATCAAAGCAGATAAATCAGAACCCTTTGGGTTTTTTCACATTAAAATGTGAAGCTCAAATTGCTAGATACTTTTGGGAGTACATTCAGAAATAGAAACTGGGAGCAAAGAACCCTCTTAATAACAGAGGAAGAATGTTTCAACGATCCAAATACAGGGACTCTGTCTGTGACTTCTCTCTTTAGTGTTGTAGGAGACAGAGTTGCAGGCACACATACAAATTGAAAGACTGAT